GGGGGGGGCAAAAGAAGCCTCTCTCGTCCTCCATTGAAACTATACTATAGGTAGCCAAATTTCACCACCCATCCGTAACAACGCAATTGGGGGGAGGCGTCCTTTTTAAGGAGGTTGATTTTATTTTTTTTTTTACTTCCTTTCCCCGATTCCTTCTGCTTATTTTCAATCTCCGCCTGTGAGTACTCCTTTTGGCTGCTCAACTTTCCGCCGTGTTCAAGCAATTTGTCATGTGAAGGGAGTGTTTCGGTATATCTGCTAGCGGACAGGCGTCAGTCCGACACGGGTTCGATAGCCGAAGGGGAAAAATAGGCTTTTACCACGTTATACTAGGTATTATCCTGTTTTTTTTTTTTTTTTCCATCGTGTATCTGGCCCCGTTTAACCCTGCGGGTTCATTCTGTTACCCTCTGTTGTCGGGATCGGGACTCTACTTCTTCCCCACCTCCATCATCCGTTCTTCGTCGATCTTTGTGCTCTCTCTTAGTGTTCCCGTTTTTTTTGCCTCTCTTTTTGGTTTTCTTCCGTTTTTCGTTTTGTTTTTGTTTTTTCTGTTTTTCTCGTTTATTCTTTTATTTTCTTATAATCAAGCCCTCATTCGATTTCTCTTTTTCCTTTTTGTCCTTTTCCTTCATTCTGTGCGTTCTATCATCTTCATTCTTTGTCGGTTCCTTGTTTATTCGCCTTCATTCTTCCATGCAGTTCTTGTTCTTCCTTTCCACCTCTCCCTCTCTCTCTCTCTGTGCTTCTGTTCTGCTCGCCCCATCCGATCCCCCAAGCTCTGCCATGCAGTCGACGCTATACAAGTTTATTCGGTATCATCACTCCATCTTATATGTTTGGGATGTCTGGCGTGCTGTCGTTGAGGCTTTACGGTCATACTTGGGCTATTAATCTGTTGTTGTGTTTTTTTTGGCCCCCTTATCTTCACAATTGCATATTAAGGCCAGAGAAAAGGTGGGCTATTAATCTGTTGTTGTGTTTTTTTTTGGCCCCCTCATCTTCAGAATTGCATATTAAGGCCAGAGAAAAGGCCTCCTTGCTATCGCGCGGGATGGGGGGCCCTGATAGCTGGGGTTCATTGGTGAATTACATACGTATATCTGCAGAGCGGAGAAGTCGACACTGTTCTCGCAAACCCAATAGCGCGGGAGGAAAGGCGACGATGATCGAGTTCTTGATTGGGTAGGTGCCCTTTTTTTTTTTTTCTTCCTCTCTAATCAAGCTAGCGCATGAGGACTTGAGTGGAATGCATGTGGAGTGTGAAGTGCGTAGCTGTGGGGGTTGGGAGAGGGGGGAGGGAAAGGGGCTTGGGTGCTTGCAGATATCATCAGCGATGTTTTGAGATTCGATCGGCCATTGTTGATTTTGATTTTGTCTCCGGGATGACCGAAGAAAGGCCTTTGGCAGGCAACCAAGTACTCCGACCTCCTCCGATGCTCTGCTCATGGGTGACCAGATCCCGATCTTACTGTTCTTCCTGCTCTGTCCCGCTCTCTCCCTTGTCACTTCGTTATCGCCCCCCTCCTTCCTTGGGTTTTGTCCTTTCACCGTCGGACGCAAACGAAACGTTGCTTTCCATTCGATCGGCTTATCTTTATAAGCACGGTGGTGGCCTGCTTTTCTTGCCTTCGCCCCATATCCCGCTTTCTTTTCTTCTTGTTCCTCTCCATTTTCTCTTCCCTGTCTTTTCGTCTCTTGCGTTCCTCTTCTTCTCCTCCCTTCTCCTCCCTTCGCCTCCCTTCTCCTCCCTTCTCCTCCGTGTCGCCCTTACGCCCCGCCCTTTGGGCATCTATTCAACCGTCTGCTTCACTGCGATGACGTCCATTTTATCCGTTGGCTTTCGCTACCCTCAACTTCTCTCTCTCCCATATCTTTCTCCGTTTCCAAACCCGAGTTTCACTGTGGTTTTCGTGTTTGATCTGTCCTTTGTTCGTCCGCATTTCTCCGTCTGTTCTCTGCCTCCACTTTTGCATCGATCCGCTTTGTTCATGAGACCGAACGACGGCTGTGCATCGTCGCAGCAGACGCAGGGGCAAATTTCTTTCTTGGCAAAATTCTTTCTTACACCTGGAGGGTCTCGCTACCTTGGACTTGCTCTGCTTCCCTCTTCTGTCGTCAAAATGAGTTTCTGCGCGTAGAGAGTGCACGACGATCAGCGGTGAGGATGGAGCGTTGATGAGCTTAACGGACGGATGGCCGTTGCCGATCTTGATTCGTCGGTAGTTGAGATTCGAGGGCGGTCGTGATAAGAGAGATTCTTGCGAAGCTGACGGTATATATATGATGCATGCTTTTTTTTTCCTGTTTTTTTTTTTTTTTTTTTTTTTTTT